CTGAAGAGCCGGCTGGAGGAAGAGCCGGGCAGCTGCAGGGCCACGGTGGCAGCCTATGGGCTGGGCAGCGTCTATTCGGCCGCCTTGCTCATCTCCCTGGCCCTGCTGGCCTTCCTGCTGATGACTCTGCACACGGAGCGGCTCAGCCTGGCCTTCCTCCTGCTGTTTGTGGAGGCCTTCGCCCTGCTGTGGATGCACGCCTGCACCAGGGCCCTCTCCTCCTCTGCACACTCGGGTGAGTCCGGGAATCCCGCCACGGCCCTGGCCGGAGGCTCTGGAAGGAATCGGCAAAAAGCACAAAGCATCTTCTTAGAATGCAGCTAGCTAATCTCAGGGCGGGGTAGCTAGAGCCGGGAGTCTCGGCTGTGAAGGGAAGCCCCTGGGAAAGGAGGGCAATAGGGCTGGGGGTCTGGCCTGCGAAACAGGCATTGGCATCTCAGAAGAAAAGGCAGCTACTTGCTCGTCAGACTGGCAGGGCTGGGGAAGCGAGTCCAGCTTTATCCTCTGGGCAGGTTCATAAAGAGCTAAACGGTGTCACAGCCGGGTCGTAAACTGGATTTCAAAGGCTAAACCGGTATCTTGAATTGTGCCTGAGGAGTACCTGGCAGGGGAGGGTAATGGTGGACATTGCCTGTCGTCAGCAGAGCCTCTGTGCTGGGTGCAGTCTGAAGAATTTTTAAGGGAAACCTAGGAGAGAGGCCAGAGGCTCAAGTAATCCTCCCCCCCCCCCCAAGCTCCTAGCAAGCCGAGGGTGGCTAGAAATCCAGCCCACCAGGGAGGGTCTCAGCAGGGCGTTTGAGCCTTGTGGCCCTTGGGGAAGCCAGATCTGCAGTGCTCAGACTTTTAGCCCCAGCTTCTGTGCTGTGAGTGGCAGTTGGAGATGCTGATGTGCCTCTGGGAGTGTGGATCTCCTGATTCCCCTGCTGAGACCCCCCCCCCCCGGGTGGGGGCCTTTGGGCTGGGTTACTTTGCAAGGAGCGCTTTGGGGGGGGGGATTCTTGGGCTCTGGCTCTAGACTCTACTGTCCCTCCTCAGATCCTTTCGAGGTGCCGTGGGAAGCCCTGATTGCTTGGGCTCTTGCCGCCGCCCAGTTTTTCTACGCCACCGGCCATCAGCCCGTCTTCCCAGCCATCCACTGGAATGCGGCCTTCGTGGGCTTTCAGCAGGGGCACACCTCCAACCTGCTGCCCGCCCTCCTCATTGGTGCCAACACCTTCGCCTCTCAGATCCTCCTGGCAGGTTAGTTGCGTGCCCGCAGGTCGGGGGGGAGGGTCCTGAGTGAATGGCAGCTGCGACAGACAGCGAGCCGAGGGTGGGAGCCAAAGAAGAGCCTCCTGGCAGAGAGTCTGGTCCCTCTGGCGGACAGGTCTTCTCTGCACTTGCAAAGGGCCCAGCATCCCTGGCAAATCAGAGTTGCCCTTTGGCCCTCCTTCAGGAGAGAGTGTGAGGGGGTCTCTGCATCTGGTCTCTCCGAGCTCTTTGGACCCACAACTGAGGAGCGGGGGGAGTGCTGCCTGCCTTTCCTACGTGTGCCAGCCTCCCCAGACATCCCTCTTTCACGCACCCGTGTGATCTGCCTTTTGGTCTCTGTCTCTCGTGATCCCTTTTCTCCCGGGTAGCTGGCTGCCCGTTGCTTCTGCTGTGGCCCTTTGTCTGTGAGGCCACCACCTCCGGGGCCAGGAGGCTCAAGACGCAGCTCCAGGACAGGGCGGAGGAGCAGATGATGGAGATGAGGCTCCGGGAGGCACCGGAGCGGTTTTCAGCAGCGCTGCTGCAGCTGGGCCTCCGGTACCTGCTTATCTTGGGGCTTCAGGTATGTGTGCGGGAGAGAAGGCCAACAGATTTGGGGCCAACAGATGCCCCGGGGAGTCTCATCTGGTTCATCTGCAACCGGTGGATCCCCAGGTGGTCCTTCTGTGACCCGGTGGAGATTGGGAGCATTTATTACTGATTTATTAAGCAATTTATACAGCTGCCCAGCTTACACATAGGTGACTCTGAGCATCTTACAAGATTTTAAAAATCCACCGTAAACAGGGAATCCTCGATTTATGACCACAATTGAGCCCCAAATTTCTGTTGCTAAGCGAGACAGTTGTTAAATGAATCTTGCCCCATTTTACGACCTTTCTTGCCACATTTGTTAATTGAATCACTGCAGTTGTTAAATTAGTAACACGGTTAAGTGAATCCGGCTTTCTCATTGACTTTGCTTATCACAAAGTCAAAAAAGGGAATCCCGTGACCTTGGGACACTGTGACCGTCATAAATATGAGTCAGTTGCCCAGTGCCTGAAATTTGGTCAAGTGACCACAGCGATGTTGCAACAGCCATGTGAAAATGGTCGTAAGTCACTTCTTTCAATGCCGTTGTAACTTCGAACGGTCACTAAACGAACTGTTGTAAGTCAAGGACTACCTGTAATAAAAATTCATAAATGGCAGCAACAACACACTCAAATCAGCCCCAGGGTCGGCTCCATCTCCATTTGGGGGTCCCCCAGCCCGCCCACAGAGCCACGTTTTTAGGGCCCTTTCAAAAAGTAGCAGGGTGGGGCCAATTGTATCGGGGGTGGGATGATATTCCACAAAGAAAGATCCTTTTTCGTGGCCCCAGCAGATGACAGTCCACGGTTGATGGGACTTGTAAGGTGTGCCCTGCCTTCCCCTCCTGGGGGCCGAGTAGGTGTAATGGGGGACACACATCCCATTGTCCCCGAGAAGCCACACCCAGCCGGTGTGTCCCGAGGTCAGCTGAAGGGCCCCTCTCTGGGCAGGGGCTGCCCGCCCTGGACCGCCCTTGGTGACCTCCCCTCTCTGCCTCCCAGGGGGGCCCTTCTCTCCTGAACAGGGGCCAGGGCGGCTGGCCCTGCTGATAAGAGTTGCTGGGGGTGGGGGTGGGGGGGACGCAGGGTCTGGGTGAGGAGAGACGTGGGCTCTTTGTGAGTTGCTGGCTCAGGTGCGCCTCTCTCCTCTTCTGGCTGGACTGAGCCTCATCCCTCTCTCCTCCTCTCCCGACAGCTTCTGGCTTCTGTTCTGGCAGCCGTGATTCTCAGGAGACATCTGATGGTGTGGAAAGTCTTTGCCCCAAAGTAAGTCCCCCCACTAGGTTGGTGCCGTATGGCAAGAAGCTCTTTCTCTAACCAACCTCCCCCCCCCCCCCCACACACACACACAGTCCCAAAACCCCCACGGGAAGAGTCAGGGCTGGACTCCTGAGCCTGGACTGCAGGCGGGCGGACGGGTGAGTTGCAGTGGGGCTGAGCAGAAATCAGGATTCTGCTTTGCCAGTTTCCTCCTTTTAGTGCACGCTCAGGTTTGTTAGCTTTAGACAGCTAAAAGCAGAAGAAACGGGGGGAGGGGGGGCTGATGATGGTGGAGGTTCATCTGTCAGCCCTGGGATTCCCCACTTAGGCTGCCTGGTCTCCTGGGACACCGGCGGGTATTGCTCAGAATGTAGGAGAGGACTAGGCTGAGCCCGAGGGAGGGAGGGAGGGGTCAAGCACACATTATCAGTTTGGCATCCCTTCGCGCCCACAGGAGATCGAAGTGCAGCCCTCCTTGAGCTCCTTTGACTCTTATCTGCCACCAGTTTGTCTTCGCGGTGGTGGCGAATATCTGTAGCTCCTCGGGTGGAGGATGAGGGTGGAAGTTCCTTCTCTGGGCTTGTGGGTTGGTTTCGTTACCAGGCTAGGTAACAACTTCAGCGGCCTTTAGGGATGTTTCCTGACCACACGAAGCCCTTACGAGCAGAAGAACAGCCACTCCGGCATCCCCTAAACTCCACTGAAGGTGTCACCCGCTCAAGACGTTACTCAGCCCAGTAACGAAATGTTGGGAAACCAACCCACAAGCTCGGAGAACGAACCTCCACCCTCGGTTCAGATTCTTGGGTAGAGGCAGCATGGATTAAACGTGTGCTCGTTTGGGCACCCTTGGTTCTTGATTTCATGCGCCTGACACGGGCTTTGCAAACTGTGTGTGTGTGTGTTTCGTCCATTGCTGACGAGGCCCCACCTGTCAAGCACAAACTTGCTTGCCCCCCACCCCCACACCCCCGTAGAGGTCCTTCCGCAGGTTCTCTTCGGTGACGGAGGGAGAGAGCTTCTCAGCCGATGGGGAGAGCTGCCCAGGCCCCCGGAGCATCCGTTGCCTGCTGGCCTTGAGCTCACCCTGTGCTGCCTCTCTTCACCCCGGCAGGTTCCTCTTTGAAGCGGTGGGCTTTGTGGTGAGCTGCCTCTTCCTCCTCCTGGGCCTGGGCCTGGTGATGCGGGTGGATTGTGCCGTCAGCAAGTGGTTCAAGCAGGTCATCCTTGCACAGCCCAGATAGCGCAGCAGCAGCGTGAAGGAGCCCGTCGAGGGTCCTCCTTAGGATGAGGAGGGGTCCCCGTCTGCCCTCCAGAGATGCTCTCTGCTTCCTCCCCCTGGGGAGCAAGGGCAGAAGGGGGCAGCCTCGGTTGCAGCCCATGGATGGCCGGGAGCTGCCGCAGAACAGCCCAGACTTGCCAAGGAGTGGGAAGAAGTTCCGGAGGAAACCAGAGAGAACTTCAGGCCCCTGCGTGCTCGTTTGCTGGGTGCCTGGGGTGCACGGACATCTTGCGGTGGCTGTTCTTTCCCTCCTTGCAATTCTGGATCCGGAGGAGGCACTGCAGCAGAGCGGCTTGGCAGCCCTGGGCAATTCCTCCCAGGGCCGGATGGTATGGAACAGTGTTCTGGGGAGGGAAGCCCCAGCAGGGCCAGGCGGTGGGCAAGGCGCCTCGCTGCTGCTCTGGGGCTCCAAGGCAGAAGAAGGCCAGGCGTGGAGGCTGAATGGCCAGATATCTGAAGATCATTGCTGCTGTCACGTTGGGGTGCTAGATTCTGGGTTTGGCTTTTTGAAATAAAAATGCGGATTTTCAGACTGGAGTAGTCGCTTGGGTGCCTGCTCATATGGGCTTTGGAGAGCTAAGAAGGAGCCACCGGTCTCTGCCCCAGCTGGATCACAGGGGACCCTGAGGCCTCCTTGCCTCACTTGGGGTTCAGTGAAGAAACAGCAGGGGATGCCCTGTGCCAAGTCGGTGTGGGCCTCTCTGCCCCACAGGTGTCCCTCTTTGCTGCCCTACCCTTCATGTTGGGGGAGGGGCTCTGTTTCTGTGCAGAAGGTCTGCTCTGGCTTCTCGCTTGGTCTTCCACCCGTGCAGCCGAGTATCCCCAGTGGGTTTGCCTAGATCCACTGAGCTGGAAGACCTCTGAGCCCGTTTTGAACCAGCCCAGGGAGAAAAGCTTTTGGCTGTGGGTGGCCTCAGTCTGCAGCACCCCAGAGACTCGGAATCTCTTCCACCTGGCGTGACCCTCCGCCCCTTTCTCACCTCTGAGTCTTTGCAACTCCTCTTGCCCCCCCCTCTCCTCCCTCCATTCTTCTTTCCAGGTTTTCTCCAGTGGCGAAAAGAGCCATTCGGATTCATGTAGCTTATTTCTCCTTGTATGACTTGCAATCAAAATGGAAAAAGCAGGTGGCTCTTTGGAAGATGCAGGATGTTGATTAACTAATATTTCATTACATTATGAATTTAATGTGCATCTTCATGGAGGGGATCTGTAGGAGCTCTGCAATCCTTTGGGGGTTGCTGCTGCAGGGTCTTGCTTCCTTCTGCCAGCCCAGGGCAGCCCATCGGAGGCTTTGCCCACAATCTTTTTGGGTCGGCTGCCATAAAAAGGATGCTAGGAGTCGCAAGAGGGGATTTAGAATTTCGATACTGAACTGATGAGCACAAGGAAGTGAATGGGCTGCAAATGCCAGAAGCTGCCTCCGCAGGACATGGTGCGCTTGAAATGGTTTCCCTCTTCTTAGCTGACAGAAAAGGTCAGATAGACGCAAAAGTGCATTTTCAGTCCTCAAGGCGTTTTTGCAATCGACCAGCATTTTGCCCCTTGCTTCAGGAGTGCAAAAGAATTTAAAGGAAGTCTCTGGTAACCTCTTGAAAGATAAACTTACTGCAAGAGTCTCCACATTTGGGAACTTTAAGACTTGTATTATATCCAATAGAATGCTGGCTGGGGGATTCTGGGATTTGAAGTCCACGAGTCTTAAAGCTGCCAAGTGTGATCTCCGACTTGGGAGATAAAATTATTATTATTTATTGAATTTCTATACTGCCCTTCTCCCGAAGGAGTCAGGGCGGTGAACAGAATAAGATTTCATATACATATAATAATTTTTTTTAATAGTAAATAATAAATTGAGTCAACTTGGTGTATCTGCTAAGACCTTGGCATAGAATTTAGATGTTTATGCTAGCCCTGCTTGTTGAAACAGAAAGGTCTTCAGGGCACGTCGGAAAGTGCGAAGATCTGGGATTATTCGTATTCCAGGGGGTATTTTGTTCCAAAGAGTAGGTGCCCCCACAGAGAAGGCTCTCTCCCTTGGAACTACTAGACGACATTGTTTTAATGATGGGACTATGAGTAGGCCTACTCTGTGAGAGCGAATTGGTTGGTAGGAGGTTATCGGTTGCAGCAGGTGGTCTCGTAAGTACTCAGGTCCTAAGCCATGGAGCACTTTAAAGGTAAGAACCAACACCTTGAAGCGCACTCGGAAGGCCACCAGTGCAGCTTGCGTAGAAGAGGTGTTACATGTGAGCGCCATGTTGCTCCCATAATTACTCGCGCAGCCGCATTCTGGACCAGTTGGAGCTTCCGGGTGCACTTCAAGGGGAGCCCCATGTAGAGAGCATTGCAGTAGTCAAGTCGGGAAATGACGAGGGCTTGAGTGACTGCTATTGAGTCCCGGTCTAGAAACGGACGCAATTGGTGAATCGGGCGAACCTGATAGAAAGCTCCAAAAAACAGGAACAGTCGGCTTTAGGACCTGCCCGGCAACCTCGAGGAAAAGTGGTGGGGCCGATGCCGTCACCAGGCAAAGCAGAGCCCCCCCCTTTTTTTTTGCCTCTTCCGCGAGCAGGAAACGCACGTGGCCGCCGCGCGCTGCTCATTGGCTGAGGTCTCGGGCGCGACCCGCCCATTGGCTCCCCCGCGGGACTCGAGTTTGCCGCCTGTCGGCGTTGCCTCAGCAACGGAAGCGTCCCGGCCAATCGGGCGACGCGGCTGGAGCATGCGCCCCAGCGTGTGTGAAATGGCGGGTGACGGCGACGGCTGCTTGGCCTTGTGGCGGGCGGAGAACGACCGGCTGGCCCGGCGCTGGCGGAGGGTGCGCGGCCGAGGGAGGGAGGGAGGGAGGGAGGGAGGGAGGACGGCGGGGTGGAGGGACTAAGGCCCGCTCTGGTGCTTCCCTTGCAGGCGGCGCGCCTTCCCGGCCCGGACCCCGCTCCGTTCGCGGAGCTGCTGAGGAAAATTCAAGGTACCGGGAGGGGGGAGGGGAACGGCGTGGGGGGAGAATTGGCGAGGTCTGGCCGAGGAGGCTGACGGCACCCCCCTCCCCCTCATGGCTCCCCCCGTGGCTTCCCCGCAGGGCTCCCCGCCGCCCTGCCGAGCCTTCCCTTGGAGCTGGCCGTCCTCTGCAACGCCCTGCCCGCCGAGATGAGCCCGCCCGGCGGCTGCCCCCGGCGCGCCTCCACCTGGATCGAGCGGGGGCTCCGGCGGGGTAAGGAGCGGGAGGGGGCGGGACGGGGGTGGGGTGGGGTGGGGAGGACGTCCTGGCCTGGAAGGGAGAGGCGGCCGACCCAAACCCTCGCTCTCCCCCCCCCCCAGTGCTGGAGGCTTGTGCGGCGACCGAGGAGGGTCTCGACTCCGGGGATCTCTGGCCGAGGGTCCTTCACCAGTCCTCGCCCGAGGAGCTCCGGGCCCCCTTGCACCACCTGGCTGCTCTGCAGGCCGCCTCCTGGCTGGCCGACCACCAGCTGGAGAGAGCCCGGAAGCTTCTGCGCCTCCTCAGCGGTGACCAGGTGAGAAAGAAGAGGAGGAGGAGGAGATGGGGCTGCGACCCCTGGCTTGGGCTGCCTCTTCCCGCCTAAGGGAAGCCTGGATGGGGGGGGGGAGTTTTACACTGGAGTAGCTGCTAATCAGGACCTGGTGAATTTATTTATTTATTTATTTGTTTGTTTAAATTTCTATACCGCCCTTCTCCAATATAGGACTCAGGGCGGTGAACAGCCAAAGTAAAAAACAAGACATACAAAATCTAAAAACTATTTAAAATAATTAAATATTTTGGCCGTAATTAAAACAATTCCAATTTAAAATCAGTTTAAAATTTAACTCAAGCCAGCCCAGCTAGTTGAAATAAATGGGTTTTCAGGGCCCGACGAAAAATCCGGAGGTCTGTTATTGTACGTATCTCTGGGGGGAGGTTGTTCCAGAGGGTGGGCGCTGCCACAGAGAAGGCTCTCCCCCTGGGGGTCGCCAGCCGACATTGTCTGGCGGACGGCACCCTGAGGAGGCCCACTCTGTGTGAGCGTACTGGCCGGTGGGAGGCTATGGATGGCAGAAGGCGGTCTCGTAAATACCCCGGCCCTGAGCCATGGAGCACTTTAAAGGTGGCCACCAACACCTTGAAGCGCACCCGGAAGACCACTGGGAGCCAGTGCAGCTCGCGCAGGAGAGGTGTCACATGGGAGCGCCTCGTCGCCCCCATAATCCCCCGTGCGGCCGCGTTCTGGACCAGCTGGAGCCTCCGGGTGCACCCCAGGGGGAGCCCCATGTAGAGAGTTAATTCCTGAGTCCAGCATTAAAAGACGCCCCATAGGCGGAGTCCAAATAGCTGCCTCTGTGCTAAGAATGGGCATGGATACCTTTAATAAAATATTATTGGTCTGTGGCCTTTAAAGATCTTGGCCTGATATTAAATCCCTTTACAGATAATCGGCCCAGTCTGATAAAAGCAGGCAGTCTTTTCCCTAGCAGCCTTAGGTAGGAGGAGACCGAATGGCAGGCAGAAAAGGGTGCCAAGTAGGACAACAAAAATAATGGACTGTGCGATGCAGCCTCGTTCCACGCTTCCCTAGTTCCACTCGTTAAGTTCAGTGACTTGATCATAATTTGTGATATGTGTTGTTCTCTTTCTGACTGTCTTCACAGTTTGGAGTGGTTGATTAGTCTTCCTGCTTTCTGGCACTTTTGGAATTCTTTCTTCTTTTCTTTCCAGATCCCGGACCCTCCTTGTGTTGGTTGTGACAGTGAGGTCCTTTCCCTGCTGCAGGTGTGGCACCCCCATGAAATGGGAGAGTCTGACCCCCTGGTGGTGCAAACCATCAGAGATTTGAAAGAGATTCTGTGGACCTCAGCTGCCTTCTTGCAAGGTGAATGTGAGATTCTATGCTTTACGACCCTTTGAACCTTCACCTTTGCCCTTCTGTTCCTTTTGCCAGTAACATTTCCGTAGATTTCAGAGACAAAGTATAGATAGTCCTCCACTTACGTCCACAATTGAGTCCAAAATTTCTGTTGCTGAGCGAAATATTTGTTAAATGACCTTTGCCTCATTTTATGACCTTGCTTGTCACAATTGTCAAGTGAGTTACTGCAGTTAAGTTAATAACATGGTTGTAACATGATTGTTAACTCTGATTGAATCAGATTTCCCCATTGACTTTGCCTGTCAGAAGGTTGCAAAAAGAAATCATGTGACCCCAGGACATTGCAACCGTCATAAATATGAGTCAGTTGCCAAGTGTCTGAATTTTGACCATGGGGATGCTCAATGGTCATGTGTCAAAAATTGTCATAAATCACATTTTTCAATGCTGTTGTAATTTTGAGAGGTCACTAAATAATGGTTGTAAGTCAAGGAACTACCTGTAGTCCTCTTTAGATAAGTGGCACAGAGATCTCAGTCTGCAGCCACACATTAAATTGAATCCAGTTAGACTTTCTGATGCCTGTTTGCCTATTCTAGGTGTTCAGGAGCTGGAAGCTGACAACCCTCATGGTGCCCTTCCCTTCCTCCAAGCGGCTGTGTCTGGGCTATGTTCTAAGCGTGTCCTCGCTCAGATCTTCACCTTGATGGGAAGCTGCTACTGGAAAGTAGTACGGGTATTTTATGTGTTCTAAGGAATGTGGGTAAAATGAAAAAAAAAACTATCCAGACTAAAGAGTCATCAAGTATAAGGATGGGAAGGGACTTTGGCAACCAACCAGTGCAAAAATTTGTTGCACCATGTCCTTCACTGAGGAAATATCCAAGATATTTCCAATAAAAGAAAGCAGTTTGTCACACTGCTGAATAGCTGTTGGAGTTTGGATATTTTCCCTGATGGCCAGTCAAAGCATCTTCCTTGTAACGTAAGGTCCCTACCCTGTTGCTGGGGAAAGTGGAAGGAAAGAGAAGCAGCACTCGGGATGCACTCAGTTACTGCAGTGATGGGGGAACTGTTGAAAGACCAAGTTGGAGGCAGATTGTCACAAAGAAAAACTATGTTCGTTAAGTACTCACAGTGACTTGGTGGCACATAATCCACCTGTATCACGACCTTCATTTATCCTATCGAGGTCTAGAACTTTGTCTACCCTGAAGTTCATATTGCCAGCTTTTACCATTACTAACTTCAGATCTGCTCATTTTTCCAAGTAATGCATAAATATTCAGAAAAGTACAGATAGTCCTTCACCTTATGATCACAACTGAGCCCAAAATTTCCATTGCTAAGTGAAACAAGTGAATTTTGTCCCATTTTATCATCTCTCTTGCCACAGTTAAGTAAATTGCTGCTGTTAAGTTAGTCACACGGTTGTTAAGTGAATCTGGCTTCCCCATTTGCTTGTTGGAAGGTCACAAAAGGGGATCACATGAACCTGGAACACTGCAACCGTCATAAATATGAGTCAATTGCCAAGCATTTGATCATGTGACCATGGGGAGGCTGCAACAGTCATACCAGATCTTTTTTTCCTTTTTTAAAATAGGGGCAGCATTTTCCCTGAACTGTATACCACAATTGGGGCTCCAGGTTTATATCCACGTTGTTAGGCCTTTGAAATAATCCAGACAAGAAGCACAACCAGAACTGCCTTTACTGTTGGGCTACATTCAATAGAATCTTGCAAGACATGAAAGCATTTATTTCCTCTTTTTAGCGTCTACGGACACTAGTGGTTTGGCTCCCATTTATGGATTCAGCTGCCTCTTATCAGTCTCCCAAGGTCATTCTCACATCCCATCAGTTGCAGGCTTCTTCAGGACTCTTGAATATAATTAGTCTAGTTCATGTTGGCTGCTCCTATAACCGCCTCTTTCTGTCCTTGGGTTACCAGCCCCTCATTATGGCAGTCGTTCGGTTCCTTTGAATACAGTTCCCCTTTGGGAGAAGATCAAAGCAAGGAGGATGGAAGAACTCTGTCCTCTCCCTATCACCACTAACCTTCCACTACACTTCTCTCTTTTTTTCCTTTTTATTGTCATACCCGTAAGTCTTTTCACTTGCTTTTAGCTTCTGTCACAACCTTCAGTTCCCTTTATGCTTTAGCCTTGCTGGCTTTCTTTCTGCAGCTAGTAGTTTCTTGCCAACACAGCTGTTTGGCGACAACATCTTCATACATGTCACGTCTTAGCTCTTTTGGAGACCTGCTGCGCATATCTAGCAGTTCCCTGAGCAGCCCCTTTTGATTCTAATCAGAGCAGTATGTCTGTACTTCCAGTGTCTTAGATTTGAGAAATTCACGGTGCATCTGCATTTTATTGCTCTGTGCGATCTAGTGCTGTGGCCCCCAACCTTTTGGGTACCAGAGACCGATTCCGTGGAGAAAGTTTTTCCTATGGACCAGAAGGGGCATGGTTCTGCCTGCACCTGCGGATGGGGCTTGTTTGTACAGCCCGGTTGCTGGCATGCCACGGCCTAGTGCCGGTCCATTGACCAGGAGTTGGGGATCCCTGATCTAGTGTATGTCGTAGCTGTGTGTGCTTCTTTCTGTAAAATCCTGAATCATCATCAGGGTTCCCATTACTCTTAGCTTTTCTACCAGATCCTCCCTGTCAATGAAGGAATTCCTGTATCTTTCTGCAAATTGAAACAGCTAACAAGACCCGGAATTATTGGGACTTTGCAAAGTCTGGGTGGTTCAGCTCCTCCTTTATGGGTGTGTCTCAGTTCTCAGGACCCTCTCCTTGGCCTGGTGGTTTGTAATACATCCCCAACAACGTTGTCCTCCTCCCTTTTATTCTTATCCAGATGTTCTTGACAGATGTTCTCTGCTCCAATGCCTTGACCCCAACACACAATATATGACCTTTTCTGACGTACAGTGCCCTCCCTCTTGTCTCCTCTCTTCTTTTTGAATAAAGGAGGCCTTTTGATCCATGTGTCCCACTTGCAACAAGAAATAACTGAATTCTACAGGCAGTCCTCGACTTACGATCATAATTTCTGTGGCTATGTGAGACAGTTGTTAAGTGAGTTTGGCTTCATTTTATAACATTTCTTGCCACAGTTGTTAAGTGAATCACTTCACTTGTTAAGTTGGTAACCCGGTTGTTAAGTGAATCTGGCTTCCCCGTTGACTTTGCTTGTCCGAAGACCGCAAAAGGGGATCACGTGACCTCGTCACAGCTTCCAGTTCTTGTTCCTTGTTCTTGGAGTGTTTCTCCAGAGACCTCGGGATCCTTGGTTATGTAACCTGACCTACTTCTCTGTGTATTATTGGTCTCCCCCCAGTCTTTGGATTACAAATGAAGGGGAAGGAGGGGGAGCATCTGTTGAATATCCCGTTTATGATAGGAGGGTCCCTGTTGCTGGGGGTTCTTTATGGAAGTTCCCTGTAAAGAAACAGGGACGTTCCCCTCCTGTGGACCATCCAGCCAAGGGTGGCCTGACTCAGCTCAGAACAGCTTGTCAGCAGCTCCCCAGAAATCTTTTCAGCTCCAAACAGCACTCTGAAAACTCTTGAGACACAACAGCCAAGCCTTGTTTTATCCCAGTTTAATGTGTTGTGTTTACATAACTGGTATAGATGCTCTGGGGATCCTCGGAATAATTCTGCCTGTCAGCACTTCATACTGCATTTACTCTAGTGCTGACATAAGAAGGAGAGGTGGAGGCATCTGGAAAGAGACGTTTGACTTTTCACCTACTTATTTTCCCTGGAGATAATATCCCCTAGGAGATGGGATGGGAGGGGGAAAATTCCTTTGAGTTGGAGTGGTAGATTAGGGGTAAAATGACTTGGAAGATGGCCAATGAGTGCAGGGGAGTGGGGAACAGAAAGGGAGGGTTTTGGGTCTGGAAGTCATTGTTGGCTTCGATGGAGTCAGGTCTAGAATGTTGTGCTTAATAAATAGGAGTTTTCCTTCAAAGACTTTGTTTGAAATGCAATTTATTTGAGACGACCTCGAAGCCTGACACTGCCCTCTCTGAGAAGAGACTGATGTGCCTCTTTTGGACCTCCAGGGCAAGCCACACACAGCGCTGCAGCATCTGAAGCAAGCCCTGGAGATGGACTCCACCTTCCTGCCGGCCTTGTACCAAGCAGCTCTCTTGTACCACCAATTGGGGCTCACCGAGGCCGAACTGGAAGCTCTGCTGCTGCTTTGTCAGGTGGGTCTCAAGAGGACGATCCAGCAATGGCCTCACTGCCTTCCTTCCCCAGGGAGGGAGCTGCCTGCACCGCTCTCTTTTCCATCCAGCTGGGAAGGGGGGAAAAAAGGCTACAGCAAGTGTTGGTATGGTGTTTTATTATTATAATGCTGTAAGCTGCCTGGAATCTGCCAGAATCCTTGACGTACATTGCTTTCTTCTAATTTGGTGTCTCCCAACCTTGGTCCCTTGAAGATGCATGGATTTCAACTCCCAGAGTTCCCCAGCCAGCCTTTCTGGGAGTTGAAGTCCACAGATCTTCAAGGGGTCAAGGTTGGGAAATAACTGTTCTAATAAATCTGATAAAATGAGAACGGTATTAGGAACATGCTGAGCCTCAAATAGCATAGTACTGTTGTAGCTGAGCAAGGCCCAGTTTCATGGCAGAGTCTGGCATTTTTCCTTCACCCTCTTTCTTCTCTTCCCAGGCTCTGGAGAGTCCTCCACAGGTAACCCTAGAGTCCCACGAGTCCCATTTCCTCATCCGGACAGAGCTGCTCACCAGCGGATGCCGTCCGGCTGCTTTCCTTGCCCCAAGCTGCCCATCAGGAGTGAAATACATGCTGGCCAAGAGATGTTTGCAGGCGGAGAGGTGAGGGCCTCCTCCCTCCCAGGCCCCTGGGGCTGGGCTGAACATCCCTCTCCAGAGAAGCCCTTTCTTTCCAAGTCCCTGATGCCTTGAAAAACCACAGCCCAGCGAGAGCCCAATGGAGAGAAAGTGACCCTGGCCCACACTCCGTGCTTGAGAAGGGCTAATGGGACTGCGGGCCACGGAAATAATGTCTGCTGATGGGATGTGTCTCTCCTGCAGGGCAACGGAGGCTGCAGAACATTACCTGGACCTTCTGGCTCTCTTTCAGGAAGGACCTCTTCCACAGGTGAGGAGTTGCAGCTGTTTCCTCTACAGACTCTGACTCACCTGGGTTATTTGAATGCCTCACCCTTGATTGACTTTGAATGGGTTAACGCAACTCCAGTGGACACCCCCCCCCCCCCATCCTCACTGTCTCTTCCAGATGGAAGGGTTTACAGGAGGGGAGCCATGATAATCTGGTGGAGCCTCTTTCAATTAACTTGTTTCATGAAAAGCACAGGTTCTCACAAGCTGCAGTTGATGCCTTTTAATAAAGCATGCTACAGATAATCCTCAAGTTACGACTGCAATGGAGTGCACCCATGATGGTTTGCAACTCATGATGGTTGTAAAGTGGGATGGTTTTATTAAAGTGGTCATTAAGCGACCGCCACAGGAGTTAAGCAAATTAGTGGTTCGCCCTGGGCACGGTTTTGCCGACAACCAGGAGTAAATGCCCATTTTCAGCAAACCCATCATAAAATGCAGTTATGTGACCATGTGATGCTGGGATGGCCATCAATGAACCCTGGCTGCCCAGCACCTGAGGTGCAGTCCTACGTGACGGGGGGAGGGGGGGGATGGGACGGGACACGACACGACACTTAGGCTTTGGATCATAGGTACCTCCCCGCTAAGTGACCAGTTGTAAGTCAAGGAGTACTGTAGTCAGAAAAGGGCTATGAGATTCCTGAAGTTATTTCCCCCACATGTAGGGAGATTCTTTAAATGTGGTCTCTGTGACCTTTGAACTCTACAAAAAGATAAGTGCAAACAGTTTTATGAACCCATGTTGCTCCCCAGGACCATAAGTTGCCCATTTAAGGGGTGGGGGCTGACTAGGAATGCCCGCACCTTTTCCCAGGGATTCTGGTGCCCTTAAACAGAACCCCTGCCTGGCCTGTCAAGACCTGAAGTTGTTGTGCAAGTTGTGTGTTCAAAAGAGCAGAGGCAAAGAAAAGCCACTTAAGATTGTGGGCAGAGGAATGTGAGTGTGGAAATGAATCCTGATGCTGAGCTTTGGGTTGAAACGGCTACTGGATCTTCACTTTATTTGGTGCCACCCCCAGAGATCTTCCAGTCAAGGGCGTTGGGTTGGGCTCACTGAATTCAGGAGGAGGCGATTATCTTCACTCCCATCTGTGAGTGCTGCTTTCTGCAGTAGGATTCATTTGGGGGGGGTTCATTCCAGGTGTCTCAGTGCAGCGAGCCGGCCGTGCCCAGAATTTCAGAGGTCTTCCTGGAAGCGGCCTCTGCTCTGGAGGAGGCAACCAGGCACCAGGAAGCCGTCGTGGTGTGCGAAGAGGTGGTCTCTCACACAAGCAGGCTAATCCCGGCCAAACTGTGCATCGTGCTGGACCTGAGTTCTGAAAAGGAGGCTGTAGGGGCGGAGAGGTCCTCCTTGGCAAAATCTCCTGCTGCTGTCCTGGAAGAACAGAGAGAGAGCCTGCGCTGTGTCCTCTGGCAAGCAGCCGCCCACTTGATCCAGGGCTGGGCAAGAGCCCGGCTGGGAGAACCCAAGGAAGCCATAAACAGCTTTAGCAGGTAACTAGCATCCGGTGGGATTCTGGTCATTGATTGGTTTGCCTCCCCCTTTTGCACTGTGACAGCTGGGAGAGGCTGATGGGGCACAGCAACCTCATTTTGTGGAGTCAGGAACGTTCCCCGAGTGTCCTGGCTCATACTTTGAAGGAATAGAGCTGTATAGAGTATATTGCATATATCCCTATTTTGAATATTATTTCCTCCCTTTGCTTCTACTTGCCCTGCATGCATTGACTGTGGCCAAAAGCCAAAGAAATAGTGAAGGTTTCATCCCAACCTCTAGCCTCCTTTGGAATCTCTGAAAAGTAAAAGCTTCTGTTTTCAAAAGGAGAGGTGAGAAACCCACCTGTTTTGCCCTCTTCCAAGGTAGCAGAATAGGGCTTTATCAGCAACATAGGGTTTCTGTCCTTTGGGGCTGGATCCTTCTAGCAGCACAGAAATGATGGCACTTCAACCCTTCTCCAACAGGTGTCTTAATGATCTCCTGAGAGTCCATTTGGTCAGCACAGGTATGGACAGAGGTCTTCATTGCTTGCTTCTGCCTCCCTCTTGACTTGGTTCCTGGGCTTTTTCCAGAGGAAATGACTTCTCTTCACTTGAATCACAGGATTGGAAGGATGAATTTGGGTGATCCAGGCCATGAGTGAATGTGTGTTCGCGCGCACCCCTATCCATACACACACCACTCAGTGCAGGAGTCCAAATTTGGGCCCACCCATAATGGGTAACCTTCCATTTCTGGTTCTGTTATTGAACTGTTAGAGGAGGTTTCCCATCCCCCACCCCCACCCCTGATTTGGAGTCTGCCTTCTTGCCACTTAAATCCATCCTCTGTGTTGTGCACTCTGGGAAAACCAAGGAAACAGCTCGGCCTTCCTTCCTGATTCTTTTTCATGTATAAGTCATTCTTAGCTTATGATGGCAATTAAGACCGGAATTGCCAGTGCGATGTTACGTGATCACACTGTTTAGGAATAACAATTCCAGTTGCCATCATTGAGTGAGGATTTCACATGATTGACTTCTGACATCCTGCCGGCTTCCCCAATGACGTTTTTGTGGGAAGCCAGCTGGGAATGTTAGAAATCGCAATCACGTGTGGCCATGCTTCACTGCAAAGTTGTATTCACAAGCGGAATGTCGAATCACAATCACATCACCATTGGGACACTGCGACAGCTGGAACTCTGAGGACTAGTCATAATTACCACTCATGAGTTTGAATAGTCATTGAATGGGTAGTTGTTAAATGAGGACCACCTGCCTTTGAAGTGGGTTAGCAGGTCCCTTCTCTGTCTTGTCTTCTCCAAGCTAAGGGTGCCCAGTTCCTTCAGTCCTTTCTTCATGGGTTTATTTCTGCTTCTGTGAATTTGATTGCCTTTCTCTGAGCCTGTTTCCAATTTTCTCTGGAACCTTCTTAAATATAATTTGGTGCCCAAGATGGGATGTGACCAAAGCAGAAATCAGTTCTCTCCCTTTCCCTTTCTGAGTGGCTGCTTTGTCTTTGGGGTCCCTGCCTTCCCAGACAATGAACACTCTGAAAGGCTTTTCAGCAAGACTTTAAAACCATTTTTTAAATTCTGCAGTGAGTTTGGGCACTGATCATTTCCTGCTGTATTAACTACTTAGATTGTGGTTTTTAATTGCTGTATTTCTAACGTATGATGCTCCTTTGGGAACTGGGTGATCTATAAATAATTCTATAAATAAAGTAAGCAAACAAAAACCTCTCCCACAGCCACAATTTCACTAACTTTCTGATCAGAGAGGAAAAAGAAAGCTGCTCTGGAGCCTCCAACCAAATTAGTTGTTCAAATCCTTAAAATGTTTTTTTAATCCATTTGTCTTCTTTGTACATATGTAAAGGAGCAGAGAAAGGCCACAAAAAAGTTAGTGGTAAGGTAAAAACAATCCCTAATTTATAAAGTTTGGGGAATCTTGCTCTAATCTAGCAAGATGGTTTTGAATTTTATTTCTGACATTCAATAGACATTAGCTATCCTACCTAATTTTTTGTTAACTGCAAATTTGACAAATCTCTATTTCTCATCTAAGTTATTAAACTATTGAAGCCTAGAAGAGCCAGGAGCAGTTCCTGTGGCCCCACTTGATGAGCTGCCCCTCTCCAGGTTGATGAGCTATTGATGGACAGACTTTCTCAAACAAAAAGTCAAGCTCCGTTACACCTGCACAATCTACCTGAGAAGCGCACAACCAAAACTGAGATGAGGTTAATCTAGCAAACTGTATTCCTAGCAGATCCATGCTGACTTCTGAAAATTACAACTCATGATGGTTCCCTTTGGGATCTCCCCAGGATCACATCAGAATGACCCATCTGTAGGCCATGCATTTACATCTCCGCTTTTATAAATCACCCGTTACGACCCTGGGCGGCATACAATCTCGTTCCCTGACTCTTCTCTTTATTTCAGTGGGGGGCATCAGTTCTTCAGGATCGGAGACCGGCCATCAGCTGTTCCCTTCACAGAAGGTGTAGGATGCAATTTAGTACAGTGAACTTGACTCCTTCAAAAAAAAAAAAAGGGTGGGATCTACTACGTTGTTTCCCCCAAAATAAGAACTTCGCCTGATAAGAAGCCCAATCGAGCTTTTGAGTGCATGGCAATAAGGCCAAGCGCTTATTTCAGGGTTCAAAAAAATATAAGACGGGGCCTTATTTTCGGGGAAACACGGTAGACCGTTGAGAGGCCTCTGCTCTCTGCCAGTGCTTTTCACTTGGCCAGGGGGTTCCTTTTTGCTAGCTCTGCCCTGGCGGGGCTTCATTTGTCCCTGCAAAATAAGAATTGGCCTCGTTTGGGGGGCTTCACAGTTGTCAAGGGTCGCTGTGTTCTTTCTCTCGCCAGGCCGCTGCAAAACTGAACCAGAAAGAGAGCAGACGGCCATACCTGAAGCAGAGCTGCTCCCCCAAATCAGACTCCTGGCCTTGACAGGAAGAGGAATCCGGTTTCTGGAGCTGGGAAGGCTCAAAGAAGCCTTGATGGATTTTCAGTTCAGCCTGCAGGTCTCTCCAGGTACCTTCAGCATGAAAGTCCTGCTCTGAAAGGTTAGAAGGAGTCTTTTGGACTGGGATAAACCCCTTTCTCACAGGGAAAGTGGCAGAAGCCATGGCAAGGTGAGCATGAGGATGAGATGAGGCTGTTACCCGAGAAGTCGGTTGTGATCACATCTCTGTCAGGCATGAAAGACCACGACCACACGTGAAGGTCCAGCTAAACTGGCTTATTGCAAATTATGCCAATGCACAGGAATCGGCGGAATTCAAGGGTAGCCTGCTAATGGCTATGTAGGGATTCTAGGCTGATCCCTCTTTTCACTCCACCCCTGGGGTCTGCCATCCTTTTTCCTACAGTCTCTTCTTTTTTGTCTTACAGACAGCTGCACGTCTACCTTGTACTTGCTGCACACCCTCTGGAAACTTGACCGGAAGCAGGAAGTGGTTGCACACTGGCCGAAGCTCCCATCGGAGCCTGGCCTGATGGAGGAAAACACAGGAAGGTGTGTGTCCTTTGGGCTAAGCGTTGTCCCCGAAGCCCCTCTAGGGAAACTCAATCTATGGAGGTTCCGTCCAGTTTCTCTCTCACACACCTCACCTAAACGGCACCCACTTTGGGTCTCGTTCTGCTTCCTGGCCACCAACACGCAAAATAAACCATTTCTGCCAGGGATTTCTGCTGCTCTGTCTGGTGACCCAGACAAGGATACAATGAAAAAATGTTATTTATTTATTATTAGATTTTTTTACCTTGCCTGTGTATATATAGGTAACTCAAGGCAGCAAACATACATCATCCTTGTATTTTCCCCACAGCAACCCTGTGAGGTTGGTTGGGCTGAGAGAGAGTTACTGGCCCAAAGTCACCCAGTCAACTTTCATGCCTAAAACGGGACTAGAACTCACGGTCTCCTGGGTGATTGGTCCAAAGTCACCCAGCTGGCTTTCATGCTGAAGTCAGGACTAGAACTCACTGTCTCCCGGTTTCTAACCCCTAACCCTCTGGAAATTCCTAGCGTTGCCTCCCCCAAGCTAATAGAAAATAGAAAATGAATGAACTGTTGGGTTCTTGACATTCTTTGAGCTTGGTTGTTTTGCTGCAGACATTTCATGACCAGGCTTGGTAACATCATCAATCCAAGGGGGAGGAGGATTTGCTGGCTGTTTATATAGAGTAGCTTGCCCTGCCAGGTTTGGGAGTGGTTGGCTCCTTGATTAGGATTTATTGCCTATTCCCTGTGAACCTGAGTGACAGCTGTCGGAGACCCTGTCTGCTGGGTTCTTGATTTTCTTCCTAGACTTTAAATTTTTTTTTTTTTTTTTTTTTTAAATTTGATTTATATGCCGCCCTTCTCCGAAGACTCAGGGCGGCTTACAATGTGCTCAGCAATAGTATATAAATGGTATATAAACAAGATTTACCCCGGGTCTCTGTCAGTGGGTGATGTGTGGGGAGGCCAAGCTCCAAGCAAGCCCCTTGTTGAATTTGGCTTGACCTGAGATCGTAAGAGTTTCCCAGTTGAAACTGTGGTTGGGCCTGTCTGTGTGTTGTGAAAGGAAGGCGTTTTTGTCAAGTGTTCTGACTGCCAGTTGCTGCTTGCGTAATCCTTGGCATGAACAGAAAGAGCCCCCAGTGAGCAGGAGAGGGGCTTCCTTCCCTCCTCTCGGGCTTTGGCCTTGTGGTTTGTGCAGCAGAAGGTGTGTGGGGGGGAGGGCAGGCTGGGCTTCCATCCTTGGTCATCGCAGCCTCCTGCTAACGTTGATGCTCCTTCTGCCCCCTCCTTTTGTGTTCCAGATCTTTCCCACTCTACCTGCGATCGTGCGTGAAACAGATGGAGTTTCCTCACAGGGAATCCTTTGCCAAGGATATAAAAAGCTACCTCGGAGAGAACAGCCAGGTGCTTTAATGCTACCGTGGCTTCTCTCCTCTTGCCAACTTTACTCTCAGCTGCTTTTCTCCCTCCCGAAAGGGCTTCTCCAGAGTTCACTGTCACCCGTGGGAAGAAGGCGATGCTTTCTGAATTCCCGGTGGGGGGGGGGCAGCGTAGTGGGAAGGGTGACCTTTCTTAATGGCAGAGAACGGGTGTTCTGGCTCCCACATGAATATCTGTCAGGATGGTCTGGCTCATGGAGCTGGTTTGTATGATTCAGGAGGGCTTCCTGTTCAACGGGATCCAGGCGCAGAGAACGCAGCTCCCCTCTGTAATGGAGGAGACTTTGGAATGTGAACCTCAATATGCAGCAGTTCAGAGGAGGAGGACAGTCTTGGCTTCTAGAGCCTCTGCGTCCATTGCCAGAGTCTGGACAAAGAGCAGGAGGAACTGCCAAAAGGCATCCTGCTAGGATGAGACCCACTGAAATGTGGAGCTCAACCAAAATGACTTATTCTAAAGCAGGGCTCTCCAAAGCTTGGCAACCTTAAGACTTGTGGACTTCAACTCCCAGAATTCCCCAGCCAGTTGCCATGTTTGGAGAGCCCTGTTCTAAAGTTGTAGACAAAGCAAGACTTTGGGATGTACCACAAAGAAAGACTATTCCGGAATATGGAAGTCCTATTGAGATAGTTTGGTTAAGCTTAAAAGGAGTTAAAAACCAAATTATGCTGTTTTGGGACCCAACTGTAGCCCCTCTTCACCCAGGCAGAGGGTACAAATGATTCTTTTCTAAATCAGGTTTCCAGACGGCAGGTTCTGGTGGTGACGGGAGACTTCAGTTAGCCCAACACTTCCTTGAAAATGAAGAGTAAAGTTCCAGCAGATTTCTCCTCTCTCAGCAGTGAATGCAATGTAACTATTGTAGCATCTCTTTGCATCAAGCCCAGGCCCACCTGACTAGTATTTTTCTCCCAGTGCCTCCCCCTCCCTGAGCAAACAGATGACATGGAAGTTTCTTAATTATTGGTCTTGAGGGGCCTCCCTGATTAACGGATGCCACTATGAAAGGCACCCCCTCATGTGGGAATGATGTCTAAAGAAGGAAGGGCTTTCTTTGATCTTCAATTCCTTCCTTTCAGCTCCATTGGGTTATCCCACCTTGTTCCTTCTCCCTGTCCACTTTCTGTATGCAATACATGGTTTTCTGTTTTCACAATTGGGTCACGCCTCCCCGTCTCCTTTTTTCTAAGCGGTGACTGGCAAACAGCAGATGGCAGCAATTAACTAACCTTGGGAAAGCTGAGGACTGCGCTTGGGTAAACACTTGCATGGAGAATTGCCAGAGTCCCAGGGTTACGAGGTAAACTGGGGAGTAGGGGAAAAAAACCTGGGTGGCAAGGAAGGGCCAGCAGCAAGGCCACCTGCCAAGGAAGAAGAAACAAATGGCAAAGTTTGCTTCCCATGTAGGAAGTCATAATTTGGAGCAGAATTTCCATTGCTAAGCAAGAGGTGGTTAAGTGAGCCTCATCCAATTGATGACATTTTTTGTCATAAAAGGTTGTTAAGCAAATCACTGCAGTTCTGAAGTGAATTGCATCGTTAAGTGAGTCCGGCTGACCCTATTGACTTTGCTTGTCGGAAGCCAGTTGGGAAGATCGCGAATGATGATTTTGTGTAACCCTGGGAGACAGCAGCCGTTGTAAATACACGCTGGTTGCCAATTGCCCGAATTGTGATCCTGAACGTGGGGATGTTGCAATGGTCATAAGTGTGAGGATTGAACATAAGTCACTTTTTCCGTTGCAGTTGTAACTTCAAAAACTGTCGCTAAAGGAATAGTTGTAAATCAAGGACTACCTGTAGTTGTGTTTTGTCAATTTCTGCAACATCCCTTCAGACCCGCCCCCCCCCCCCCCCACCATGCTCTTAGCCATCAGTAAATTTGGCTGATTTATTATGTGTTTCAAGTCAGTATTCACTTTTAATAACCATTCTATTTATTTATTTATTAAATTAATAAACCTCCAGACTGGTTTGGCTCCATCCCGAAGGCTGCCTTCCAGTAGTGTAGCCATTGCCATGGTAGTCATCTGCTTTTTCTCCTTCCAACTTGCCAAGCATTTTGGACCCTTAGGGAAGGTGGATCTTTGCAAAACATTTGCATCCTGAATGTGAAATTTGGCTTGGTTTGTTTCAAGATCCATTATTTTATGCCTATCCACAATATTCTCATGAATCTTCTCTGGCATCAGCGTCCAGAACCATCAGTACTTCCATCTTCTTCAAACTCCAGTTTCTGCTTCCATAGAAGATCATAGGGAACTAGCAAGGCTTGGCGCAATTCTGATCTTTTGTAGGGGGAGGCACATCACAGATCTGAGCCGCTTTTCCAAGGGCCTTCAGGGCTGTGCTGCCAGGAGCTGATCTGCAGCATATTCCTGGACTGCTGGCTCCTTTACTGTGTTCTGAGAGCCAGTCCTAAAAAGCGGAAGCCACCTGCCACTTCAGTATCTTCATGGTCAGTTCTGAGGCTGCTTGTTCTACCTGTTGCCCTTAGTTTGGTCTTCTCTATTACACAGGCTGCAGGCCATGAGCCACAGTAAAGTGTATTCCAAGACTCTTAACTTTTCTGGGGAGCCTCTGATAGAATGGAATCGTCAAAGGGCCGACTCTGTTCATACGCCAGTTTCCAAAGGTTCATGGAGCAGGATTTTCTTCTGCAGAGTCCATGCTGATCTTCCTCCGGAAGGACTCATTCCTCTAAGTCAGGGGTGTCAAACTCGGAGGCCGGATCCGGCCCACAGGATGCTTAGATCTGGTCCGCGGGGCCGCCCTGGAAAGAGGAAAGGACCGGCCCGCAGTGCCTCTGCCAGCAAAAATGGAGCTCAAGAGGGCGTCCCTCCCGAGCTCCATTTTCTCTGGCAAAAGGTTGCACGAGACCATCGCAGCTGAAAACGGAGCTCAGGAGCCCATTTTTGCCGGCTGAGTGCTCAGGCCACCACATGTAGAAATTGAGGGGATACTTTGGCATTAATTCAGGCATATAAATCGCAATAATAAATAATAATAAATAAATAGTCCTTGACTTCGTTTAGTGACCACTTGAGGTTGCAACGGCATTGAAAAAAGTGACATGACCATTGAAGCATTGTGATCAAAATTCAGACTCCTGGCAACTGGTGTGTATTTATAACCATTGCAGTGTTCCGGGGCCATGTGGTCACCTTCTGACAAGCAACGTCAATGGGAAAGCCAGATTCACTTAACAACCATTGCAGCAATTCACTTAACTGTGGCAAGAAAGGTTGTAAATTGGGGCAAAACTCAGTTAACAACTGTCTTGCTTAACAACAGAAATTTTGAACTCCATTGTGATTGTAAGTTGAGTACCTGCAAAATGGGAAAAAAATCATTCTAGGCACCCAGGTAAGAGGTCTGACAAATTACAATAATTCCCCCAAATCCAAGTTTATTAAATTTTGTGTTATTAGGCTGTCTTTTTTTTTTTTTTTTTTTTTGGCACAAAAGTACTTTTGTACATCTGGATATATTTTACTTAACCACCAAGAACTGTTGAACAAGGCACACAAAAATGCTTCAGGCCTACATTTATTAAAGGAAAATAAAAAAGAATTTGGAATGGTCTCGGGTCATCTAGTGTCTCCCCACTAAATGTTGTATAGGGATGCAAAAGAGTGATACAGCAACAAAGGCAGGCTGAATGATGCTCTTTAAGGAGAATGCAAACGGGCAGAATAAGTTCACTGAATTATTTTAATACAAGATGCAAATTTGGGAGCAAAACTACAGCTCAGATCAGCCTCTTTCCTAGGAAGAATGGACTTCATCAAACTGCCCCCCTTTCCACATTTCTCTGTCTTACTCATCGCTGTTATTAGTGTCCAGATAGAGATGCTGTATCCATGCAAGGACTAAGTAAAATCTAAAATGTTTCCCTTGGGATAGACTCAATGGGAGCTTTCAAAAGCCACATATCAGCCTTTATATTGAGCAAAATCAGAAAATACCTTCATTATTAATCAGGCTAAGTATGTGGTGTGAATACAGCCAAATTATAGTCACTTTTCTGGTGATCTCACCTCTGCCTATGGGAGCAATTATAATTTTTTCCAGGCAGAAACCCTGGAGGAATTGCAGTTGTTTCACAAATGACACTCAGAAATGTTAGTAGGTGGAGGGAAGCTTTAGTTTCACTTTTTTATTATTTTTTATTATTATTTTTTTAATTTGATTTATATGCCGCCCTTCTCCGGAGACTCAGGGCGGCTTACAATGTGCTCAGCAATAGCCTTCATCCTTTTGTATATTTATACAAAGTCAGTTTATTGCCCCCACAAACTGGGTCCTCAAAAGGAGGAGGAGTTTCATTTCTCCTTTTGAAAAAGTTAATGGATGACTTAGGGCAGGGATTCTTTCTTCTTCTGTGTACCTTCAGTCCTTCCCTGTTTAGATACCAGAAGCCCTTATTTTCTGAAAACAAGTATACCTTTACAGGCATCCTATTCCAATTTCGAAGGGCCTTAAAGATCAGGTTGATGCCCCTTTTCTGTTCCCCCCTGCCTCATTGTCCCTGTGTCTTCTGCTTTATTTTCTGCATTGTTTTTTTTACTGTTTATAACCATTGTAAATTGCTCAGACACATTGAGAGTTGGATGGCATATAAATTTAATAAATTATTACTGTATTATTGTTGATTATTTACAGTCCAAATCCACTTGGGGTGAGTGGCCAATAAATTTAGTTATATTTGCCTAATCCAAGTCCTTTGGAAGGATTCCATACATGGATAAAAAAAATTTAACTGACTGGGTGACCAACCCTAATAAATAGTAACAATAGTAAAAGCAATGTTTATTATTTGAAGAGGTGTAACATGTTCCTTCAATTGAATAGTTTGCAGGTAGAACATTCAGATTCAGCCTCCAGGGTGCTTGATGGCCTGTAAAGCATTTCCAGCTGTTGTAAAATGTTGCTCCCCCCTCTGCTCACATGACTGCATTTTGGCTGCTTGGCAATCAGCTCACATTTATAACAGGTTGCAGTTTTCTGTGGTCACGTGACCCTGATTTGTGACAATGGTTTCAGATTACATAAAAATGGTAATAAAATCAGATCTGGTCATGTGAGTGTTTCAACTTACAACCCTCATCCCTTGCAACTAAAAATTCTGATTGTGACTGCTGTTGTATGTCGAGGACTTTCTTATAGACAGTTCACCATCTCCTTGCTGAGTTCCTGCAAGGATATAGGAACACGGAATCCAGGTCTGTTCCTGGTGGACAACAGTCCCTTTATATAGATAAATTCCAGTTAGCGTAACTGGGTGTCTAAAGACAGGCCTACATCCCTTGTGCTTCAGAACTCCCTTTCCTTACAAGAGAACAAATTCTCAACAACCTAAGAAACTGACAATTATTATAATGTAACGTTTTTTAGAATAGAATAAGCTTGGAGGTTTTCTAGTCCAGCCCCCTGCTCAAGCAGGAGAACCTATACCTATACATTTAGCCTTGGCTGTTCAAGATCATGGGGGGGCCAGAATGCAGCGTTTCTCAGCCTGGGCCATTGTAAGAGGGGTGGACTTCAACTCCCAAAATTCTCCTAACCCTTAAGGCTGGCTGGGGAATTCTGGGAGTTGAAGTCCACCCCTCTTGCAATGGCCCAGGCTGAGAAACTGACTTGGGGCCATTGGGGACCCTTAGTGTGTCATTGTCCTCACGAGGAACTTTCATTCAGACCAGGAAGCCGCAGCGTGGGCAGAAGGCGCCGAAGGAGGCCGCCTGGCTCCAGGTGGGCGAAGGAGCGCGAGAAGGCCGAGGCCGCCGCCCTGCCAGCCTCCTCTCCTCGGCCCACCCGCGACGGCGGCCCCTCCCCGTGCAGCTCAGCCACACCACCGGATCTGCCGCCGCCCTCAGAGGCCAGCGACGACAAGGCCCAGCCTCCCAGCACCACATGCTCAAAAAACAGGTTCCCAAATCCCCAACGTCATGCTGCCCAGGGCGGCCACGCCGGCGGACTACTTCCCGGGTCGTCTACGGCCCGGCTCAGCCCACTCAGGCGCCGAGGCTTATTTCCATAGGAGGGCCGTCGTGCCAATCAATGTCTCCGTTTTTCGATTCGCCGCGAGTTCTTTTGACGTAACCCCAATCACCGTTGCGTCGGTAGCCGGAAAGGGCCTTCGAATTGGCCTTTCGCCTGAAATCTTCCAGGCTCCGCCTCGGACGTCAGCCTATTTTTCTGATTGGTCCGCCCGGTCGCCGGGTGGCTCTGCCTTCCCGCAGGAGCTCGCTTCCTCATTAAGGGAGGGCGGGAAGCCGTTCCAGGTCGGGGCTGCGATTGGCCGCGCGCGGCCGCCTCTATTTTTCGGATTGGTCGCCGCGCCACCTGTTGCTAGGCAGAGTGCGGCCTAGCGCGCCGGGCGGAGCGTCACCCCCGATGAGTCGGCGCTGATCGCTGAGGGGAAAAACCCAGCGCGGAGCAGGCAGAGCCGAAGCGACCCTCGCCGCCACCGCGCCAGCCCACATCGCCGCCATGGCCTCGGGACCCGAGTGAGTGCCTTGCCCCGACCCCGTCTCGCCCGCCCGCCCGCCCGGCCTTCCTCCCCGCGCCGGCAGCAGGAGAGCCGCGTCCCGGCGGGCGGCGACGTTGGCCCCGCGGCCCTGGTCCCCCTGGAGGCTGCGCGGATCTCCCAGGCCGGCCTATGGAGCGAGGGGGGCGGCGGGGGCCCGGCCGTGCGAGGCGCCGCGCCGCCTTTGTCTGCCGCCCGCGGGGCTCCTCCGGAACGGCTCGGCGGGGCCTGGCAGGCGGCGGCCGGGAAACACGCCTCGCTGGGGGGAGCCGGGGGGCGCCGGGGCGGCCCCCTCCCGCCAAAGGCCCTCGGGGCTGGGGTCCTCGGGGCGCAGGCGAGGCCTCCCTCCTCCCTCTCGGCCTGCCGGGCCTCTCGGCGTCCCTCTGGAGCGAGGCCCCGGCGTGGCCAGTCGGGTCCAGCGGCCTTATTGAGGGGCCCCGCAGGGCGAACCCCGCAAGCGGGTTTATTGTGGAGCCGCCTCAAGTAGGCCGTGTGAAGGTGGGAGGCCGCTGGGCTGGGTTGGAGGGAGCTCTCGCCGCTCCCTTCTCTCCCCCCGGGCTCTTGGGGGCTCCTGCCCCGGGCATCCCTCGGACGGAGGCCGGGGATTGATGGCTTTCTTCCCAGAGGCAGCTGGAGTTTCCTTGTCTTCCCTTGGAGACGTTTCGCTTCTCCGCCAAGGAGCTTCTAGAAGGGGGGGAAGCGAAAGGCCTCAGAGACGAAAACCAGGCAAGTCCAGCTGCCTTTTGGAAAAGCTTCCTTCCTTCCTCCCCCCCCCCCCCCCTCCCCCGGGCAGAGAAGGGGCTTCAACTCCCAGAATGCCACGAGCTGCACAATCACGGCAGGGAGGGGTTTTGGGGCAGGCTCGGCTCAGGGCAGCCGGGGATTAGGTGAGTAAAGTGAGTGAGAAAGAGACGGATGGCCCCCCTGGCTTTGCCTGCCCTGCCCTGGGCGTATAGTTGGTTAGAAAGAGAAGAGGCTGTGCCTGAAACGGGGGCTTTGGCCTCTGCTGCCTTAGGTCAGGGGTGCCTTTTTGGAGCCCGTGGTGCTCTCTGGGCGGCTTCTTTCAACAGCTTCCTCGGAGAGCACCAGAACTCCACAGTTCAGCCCTGAGCTACCTGCATCCTCTTCTATTGAAGTGTCTTGACTTGAATTAGCAGAGGGTGGAACTTGAAAATGTGGGTGATGAGGGGAAGGTGGTCAGTTGCAAGATGCTTGGATTCTTGCCCATCTTGGCTTGTGGAAGTTGCTAGAAAAGGACTAGCCAAGCATACAATGGAAATTGTAAATGCCTCGTTTGGACAGGTTCTCTTCTATTTAAGGTAAGTGGCATAAGGCATTTGTTAGAGAGTAGGTGGGAGGTATCTCTCACCATTGTTGCTTTTTGATCTCTTGGCAGAATGATTCCTTCTCTCTCTCATCTCAGAATATTATTGAAAAACTACTTTTTTTAAAAAAAAAGTAGCTCCAGTCTTCTATGTCTGCATGAGGTTAAGACCATTTTTCCCAATTTAGGGGTTTATGCTTGGAAAGTGATTGGAGTATATTTGTTGTGATTCTATTGGATGGCTCAGAAGCTTTGGATACCAATTGACCATCATTCTTTGGAAAGGTTAGGTGATTCCGGACCTTCCTGAAAAGAAATCTCAGTAGATAGGACTAAGAGATGTCTACCTAACCTGTGGCCAGGAGCTTGCAAAAAGCTGCAGAATTCTGTTCTGTGACAGGCTGTTCAGTTTTCTTTTGAAACTGCTGGGGAAGGTGATTCAATCTCGGTGGAGTTTCATCAGTCAGCAGCTATCACCCATTGCTATAGTTCTCCTCAGTTGCATCCCATGGAAGCTGGTAAGGTTCTGAGCCATGGACCACAGCAGTGTTTCTCAAGTCCTGCAGTTTGAAAATGTGGGCACTTCCATTCCCAGAAGTTGGCAGCAAGCATGCTGGGGGATTCTTAGAGTAGTCAAAGTTGGAAAACACAGAGATAGCAGTGAGATGGGCACAGTTGAGTCATTGAAATGGAATCCTGACATGGCTTGATCAGTAGAGCTGGTGACTCAGAAGATGAGGCCTGACTGCTCTGGAGCGAGTGGCTTTCCCTTTGAAAGGCCAGGTCTGTCTTCATAGACCTGGACTCTGACACCAAATGCTTTTGGCCATCTTTGGTGGGCCAGCCCCAATCTTGAGAAATGGGCTAAAATGGCACATCATGTCTCAATGATGGCAGCTTCACTGAGCTGCTGTTGAAGAAAAACTAATATGGAATCACTTGCAATAGGACCTTTGATAACAGAAGCTGGGCATAGAGAGCATTCCATTATGGAACAGAGCGCAGAATACCGAGGGTGACTTTCAGAGCTCTAAATGGTTTGGAATTGGGACATGTGAAGGCCGTTGCCTCCTTCACACATCAGTCTAAATATGGAGACATATTTCTCAAACATCACTTGTTTTAAAAGTCAGTCTTAGGATCTTCAAGAGCAGCCCCATGTAAAGTGAATTGCAGTAGTCAGCCATTAAGTGATGAGTGGGTGAATGACTGTCTACAAAGTTTTCTGAGCCACAGTTGGCACAAGATGTATTTGTGCAAAAACCATCCTGGCCATGACTTCCAATTGCACTATGCCAGGTGCAGCTCTCCTAAACTGCCAGCAAACCCCATGGGGTGCAGCATGACCTCATCAGTTAAATCGGGACTTGCTGTAGGATTTTGAATCTGCAGCTTACTATGGTTCAGGCTATGCCCATTTTTCCCATCCAGACACTGAGTCGGGGCTCCTCCTGCATCTTTGGTTCAGGTAGAGTTTATAAGGTATCATCTGTACATTAGTGATACCTTGTTCGATGCCCTCTAATATCTCCGTAGCTTCATGATGATATTAACGGGTGGGGATTGTGCAATTCCATAATGAAGTTTCCACAGACAGCTCTTTCCCCTCATGGCTTGAAACCCACCCAAAGGGAGAACCCTTGTAAAATGATGCCTCCCCCCTCCAATCCCAGCCAACAGAGCCAGTCGAGAAGGATAGGCTGGTTAGTGGAATCAAAAGTCCCCAAGATGTCTATGGAGATTCTGGTTGTCCCAAAGGTCCTTTTCTTGGTTTTTTTTCCTTG